TGGGAGGGGGCCCCCGCCCACAGGCCCCCGCCACCTCTGTGGCCCTAAAACACCCCCTGCTTTTTACTGCAGTGCCAGCCAAACTTTCAAGGGTTTGGAAGGTTAAATGAGCGAAGAATCCCCCCTGCCCATCAAGGGACTGAGCAGCCACTCCGCAGTCACCTCCCAGGAGCAAAGCAAAGCTCATGCAAGGTTATTTAAAGTGCCTAACTACTTTTTTTTGGAAGCAGAGGTGCCTGAACTGAATGGAGGTGCCCTGCCTCTATGTATCAGTATTGCTGCGCTTTGGCAATGAAGGCTTTGGAAATGAAGAATGAACTTCTTCACGGAAAGGGTTGTCAGACTCTGGAATGGGCTGCCCAGGGAGGTGGTCGAGTCCCCATCCCTGGAGGTATTTAAAAGAAGGATAGATGAGGTGCTTAGGGACATGGTTTAGTGGTGGGATGGCAGGGCTAGGTTTAAGGTTGGACTCGATCTTAAAGGTCTTTTCCAACCAAAGCGATTCTATGATTCTATGATTTGCTCTCCCTCCAGGTCAAACACTTTTAAATGTCTGGGAGCACTCTATACAAGCCAAAGGTTTATTTGTTTCATAAACAAGTAAAATCATATTAAGTAAAACAGGTAAATGGACAAAAGTAAAACACACAGCACTGAACACAACGCTATAGAGCACTGACATGTAGAAGTGCAGTTCCCTCCCTCGTGCGATGCCCTCCCCCCCCCAAGCTCCCCGGTCCCTCAAATGATTTGCTTGAAAAGCCTAATACAGAGGTCCAAAATCTGATTCAGCTTAAACATGATGTACAGGTCACAGTATTGAATCATAAAGGTAACGTCGGAGAGTAACTGTCTTGGAAAGGGGGACAGTAAAAGAGTTCCCCCATCTCTTCTTTTTCTTTCTTACATTTTTTTTAAATTTTTAAACAAATAGGGTAGGAGGAGAGGGGGGAAAATCCATGGAAATAAACACTTTTTCACTCCTATATATATATATAAAAAAAAGCAGGGTTCTCAGTGAACACAAAATTCTATAAAACTACCATTGATCTGTGTTGTTTTCTCCCCCCTTTTTTTTTCTTTTTAAAAGTTGCTTTAAAAAGGATAAAAAGTGCACAGACACCCTTATAAGGCACAAACAGATCTTCTGTACAAATCATATATCATCGGACTGTTTAAAAAAAATAGCAATACGAGTACGAACAATTAAATCTGTAAGAGGCTACCTTTTCCTGGCAATCTTTTATAAGAAGAGGCCTATCTTGGAAAATACCTGTTGCTCTCGGGTAGGCAGGGCAACACGTCCACTGCTCCCATGTCCCGCTCGCTGCACGGCTGCGCTCCGGACCCTGACTCCTGTCACTGGTCACTGCTCTGGCTGAGCTCGCTCTTTGCTGGATGCTGCCCTTCTGGAAACCGGTCTCGGCTGCTAGAGCAAAAATTCAACCTGTGCAATGTGTCCTGAACAGCTCAGACACGGCCTGGGGTGCATTTGGTATTTCTCCTTGCTGGTTTTAAAAAAAAAAAAAAAAAAAAAAAGGAGCTACACCAAAAAAAAAAAAAAGCCCACCCCAGGTACAATTAGCCCTGCTCATTGAGGACCTGAGCTGTCAGCCAAGCAAAGGGACTCGGCTCTGCCCATGCGTGCAGCTGTGTGCAGCCACCGAAAGGGACTGGACACCCCTGAAAGCAAGACAGCAGCCCCAGGGATGGCTGCTGGTGTTTGCTAGCCCAGACCTGATCCAAGCTAATGCTGTGGATTTGGGTAACTTCCCTTGAACTCCTCATCATGCAAAGGCGTCCCACTGCAGCCCACTCCCCAGGCAGGCGCTATCCCCCCTGGCCTTTTGCCCCATGCTCACATACTTCGCCATCGTCGTGCCCTTACCGCTGTGCCCGCTGGCCGCAGCCAGACCCTGATCTGCAAACGCGGGACCGGGGAGGTCTCTGCAAAGGCAATGCCTGCGGTCCCCGGGCAAAGGGCAGCCCGGAGGGCTGGGCAAGGCTCCAGCTGCTGGAACGCTGCCCTCACTGCCTCCTTTTGCAAAGGTGAAAGTGAACTCGTGCCGCAGTCACAACGCCCGTGGCTCTGCTGAGGGCTGAGCACACTTGGCAGCAGCACAGCCAGTGGCACGAGATGAATTTCCAAAAAGTGCTCTGCAAAGCCAGCAGGCTCTCATGCCGATGCAGCAGGCCAATGGGTGAGAGATCTCACTCTACAGCAGCCTCTCATTTATACACATAATTAAAATGTTAATTAGCTCTTCAATGGCAAAAAAAGGTTTTCTCCATGGCCTGTTTGCTGGCAGCCACAGCCCGCTGTGGGAGGAGGATGAGCTGCTCCCCTGGGTGAGCTCTCCCTGATGGCAGAGCGGGGCTGGGAGGGGGCCAAGTGCCAGTCGGTAACCAAGCGCAGCACCGCTGACACCCCCAAACCACCACCCATGGAGCAGAGAGTGAACGGCAAGGTGAGGTGACAGACACCGACAGCGTTGGGCTGCCCCTCTGTGCCCAGAAGCCCTGAAAGGTACAGGGGCTCCTATTCTTTCTTATTTCTTTTTTTTTTTTTTTTTTTGACTAAAACGGGGTAATTGCACCTTTCTGAGGAAAGCCATTCTTATGCACTTGGCACGTGATCACTGAGCTAGAATGACACCAGCCCCTCTCTCCTCCCATTTGCATCCTCTCTCTTTTCACGAACCTGGACCAGCTGGAAACCGGCCCGGCGCAGGCTGAAGGACTGTTCAGGAGCCATGTAAGTGGGCAGAGGACGGAGAATGGAGGGCAGCTCCTGCGGGAGCAGCACAGAGGGGGACACCAAGCCCTCACACCAGCCCCAGTGCTGCATGCTCAGATGCTGCCCAGCTCACCCAGGCTGCTGCTGCTGGCAGCTGTCTAATATCACAGCTGAAACCCATTTACCTTTTAAGTCCCAACATCTAATAAATGCCTGAGAGCCTTTTTCTTTCCTCCTCCCAAGGAAGACCAAGTGAGATAGATCTCTGTTCATCTCAACAAGTTCTCATCTACTGTTGGGACCTGGCGGCCAGGCAGCTGGGACCTGTGCTGGGAAACCTGGAAAGGCAGGAGAAAGAGCAGGTAAAATCAGCACATACACAGTTCCCAGAAAAAACAGTGAGCCTGCTGGGACTGGGTCAGAAATTAATTTCTCACCACAGGCTCCAAGAAGTCCCTGTGGTGCGGGAGGGAGGCTGAGCCCTGCCTCAGTGCTGGCTGCAGGGGAAGGGCTAGGGCAGGTGAGCCAGGCGGGATGGTGCAAGACTGCAGCTACGCCGCCGGCCAAGAGGAGCAGAGCAAAATGCAGGCGTGTGTGCCTGGAGGTGATGGACACCATCACTGCAGATGGTGGTAGCCCCATGCTTTTTCTAAGCCAGGATTGCAGCGTGCCCATCCAAACGCCCCTCTCATCCACAGGCTGCAATTTACGGCTTCAGCAGCCAGACATGGGGGCAGTGCCTGAACTGGCCCCCCATAGCTGCTGCCCGGGGCTCCGTTACTGCTGCAGTGGCTGGGGCTCGCAGTGGCCTCGTGCTCCTCGCTGCTACCCCGTGGCTGCTCCCCGGGTCTCGGCCTTCCTGGCCGAAAGTCCCTGCTCTGCCACAGAAAGCAAAAGCTGCTTCATCTAAGTCTGGACCAGCTTCTCCATGTCCCCCAGAAGCCTGTGCAGGGGGGTGAGATCCAAACAAGTAAGAATCTGGCTGTGCTACTATTTTGGCTTTAGCTAGTTCCCCCTACTTGGGTGAACGTGACATTTCCAGATCAGTTTTGTCCACTTTGAACCCTCCCACTGGGCCTTGTCCTAATTTTGTTCCACCACAGCGCAAGCGCCCGGCAGCAGCCCAGAGCTGTTGGGGTTTCAGGGTTGGGAAGCCCAGTGGCACCCGGCACTGGCCAAGTGGCAACCTCCCCTTCCTGATCCGCACCACAGCGAGCCTCCTCCTCCAGAGGAGGAGGGGAAAAAGGAGCCTTTGCACGGGAAATTTCTCATTTGCAGCTGGGTTGGGTCCAGACCGCGATTCCCTGGATTCGCCCATGGGCACACAGCCTGGCCGGCACGGCAGCTGTGCCTTTGGGCCCCACATGATCCTCAGCTCAATTTTATCCCTGAATTGTGCCCTACCAGTCAAATAAGGAAACACAGATAACGAGCCACTTGATAACGACTGACCAGCACGATAACCCATAAGCAGGGACGGAAAGGCATGGTTACTGCTAGCGGCGTTCCCCCTTCCTACAGCCCGAGCCGGGCGCTAAGGGCGGTATATTTTAATAACATCTTTGATGACCCGTCGGCAGATTGGGCAGCAGGCGTGGAGCTGCTTTTTCAGCTTAAGACCGCAGGTGTTGCAGAGGCACATGTGTCCGCAGGTGTAGATCACCGTGTCCACCTCGCTGTCAAAGCAGACGGTGCATTCCCCATTCTTGCTGCTTGATGGCTCCGGAGTGGGGAAGACGGGAGAGATGGGGGGGCTCAAGGGGGAGCTGGGAGCAGTCACTGCAAAAGAGGAGGAAGGAATGAGACCATTTAGTCACTAGGATGGTGCAAAGCTGACACTGTACAGCACACACATACACACACAAGTCAATTTTTAAGGCTTTTCCTTCCTTAGTCATTGCCTGGTTCATTTGGCCAAACTCTCCCCAGCGTATTCTAATTGGTAGCACAGGCACAGCTCTGGGTAGAGCCCACCACCCCTCCTCTACAGATGGGGCAAGCATGGCTTGCCTAGGCTTCCCCAAGCAGGGCTGTGATTTTGCACACCCGTTTCATGGTGTGGGTGTGCAGAGCCCGCTCTCCCCGAAGGAGCTGTGCTCCACGCAGGGTGCTCCTGCATCCCACCCGCTGAGCTGGGCGGCTGCGGCACTGCACAACGGCAGCACGTGCAGGGATGGTACCGGGCAGGGCACGCAGGGCCGTCTGCCTGAGACCCAAACGCCAGTGGCTGAGGGCATCCCTCTGGCAATGGAGTCCTGGCAGTGCAGAAAGCAGTGGTCTGGGTGCTGTAAGACCCCCAGACATGATATGGCACCCCCCGCTATTGCAGCACTGCTCCTGCAGCTGGGGCAGCCCTGCAGACACCACTTCCGTTAGACAGACTGACAAAGTGGGAAGGAACAAGCAGCCCTTCTTCAGGCTGTGAAAATCTTCCACTGCTTTGTCTTTTCTTCCAATTATTTCTGTTGGCCTCGCAGGAGATGTAACAGGGCAAGCCCTGCTGTCTTGCGTAGCCCCAGCATCATCT